TTTAATCACCTTTTCTATTCTTATATACTTCGTTTTCCTCAGTTTTTCTCTTTTTAGCTTTCCCAGCTGAGTATTTGCGTCTTGAATCTGTAGAGCATTTACAAAAGTTCCTGTATGAATGATGGTCTGGCTGATGCAAAAAGAGGAAAATAAGATCCGTTTCCCATGAAAAAAATCACCCAAGAAAGCACCTTTTCAAAGGCAGACAGGCTTCCCGTAGTAGGTAGTAGCAGAGTACATATCTTAAAGTTAAGCCAATTAAAAACGAAAAGTAATTTTCTAATTAATTATTCCTTATAATTTCTCAACTTGAATTTGTTAGACATAATTTGTAGCTTTTTTTCATGAAGAATTTAATACTTCATTTTACGTGCATGTGCTCCTTTAGATGAACTCAAAGGCCTTTGATTTATTCATCATGACAAAGAATTCACAGGTTTATTTTGCGAAAGAAAAAGGATGCCTTTTTGGATAGCTGAGCGTAATTTTCTGATACTCACTTTACATATGGGTCAAACCGCTAAATACACATGCTGCCAACGTATTCACTAGGCATTGAACCAAATAAAGTTAACTCAATTATCTATTTATATTTCCTTTTTTACTTTTTAGCACTTTTTATCATTTTTAATGTTTTATTTTCTTTTTAAATATTTTGGAACTGCATTTTATTATACTCATACGTTTCCATGAAATTCCTTTGAGATAGACCATCAGTGAATTTCAGTCGTGTTTCTAATTTTTTTTTTTTTTTTTAATTTTGAAAATGGCTTAACTTAAGTTTCGTGAATGAAGACCTAAGTTTAATTAATAAACGTGGATGACACTTTGAATTAAACGTCTAATGTGGACACCACATTACTTCTTTGTACTGCCTATTAAATTATACACATTTTTTGCTGCACTACATTTAAACCTATTTTCTCGAGTTATTTTAACTTAATCAACCGATATCTTAAGGCAAGTTGAAAATAACATCAAAAACTGCAAATTTTGAAATCAAATATACCGATTTATTTTTCTCGTACGAGAATCAAATTTCTTATAATTTTATTTTTTCATAACTAGTGTAAAACATTACCAATTATAAGTATAAAAAACGGGAGATAGCATTAAAAATTAGATTTCGTTATTTGTCAAATATTAATTTTATTCTGAAATTTGACATTGCCGAAACATAAATATTTTCGTCATTTAAAAGAATTCTGTAATTGGAAATATATGACTACGATCAACAATTGCAAAAATAAAGGCCTGGTAAGGAGTAAAGACCGGGCGAAGATAAATACCGGGTAATGACTTTTAAGGAGGATTTAAAAAGGGGGGGTATGTAAATAATAATAATGGATTGTTTTCGACCAAAAAAAAAATCACTAATGCGGTTAAAATAGCAAATGTAAATAATTATCAACTTTTTGACTTACTTAATGGGTAAAATATCTTAGCACGATAATGAAATTAGAGGCAGTTCTTACTAATTTTTTTTGCTTTGGTCAAGTTAATAAATTGAAAAATGCTAAAATCTGCAATATCCGTGTTAATTTTTGTTTTCAGGAATGTTTTGCCACTCGTCTGTAGGACGTTGCCGTCTCCAAAAATCTCACTACAGTTTCAAATAATAAATAAATAATAGAATCAAAGCAAATTTTGGAGGCTATCTTAGCCCTTTCTCAATGAAGTAATAACACGGAAAAGTTGTTCTGTGCTGAGAAAATGTACCAGATTTTCCTGAGTAAATATAAAAGTAACATTAAATGTGGAGCAATAGCTCCACATTTAATGTTTCTTATATATTTCCTATGTAATTTTATTAATTTATAAACCGAGAAATCCTATGTAATTTTATTAATTTATACATCGAGATATCCTATGTAATTTTATTAATTTACAAATCGAGAAATGGTAAAGAATATAAAACTATGAATATGATAGTTGATCACCTTCTGCGGTAAATGTTTCAAATGTGGGCACTTGTTTTAATGATAGTTCAAAACTAAACTCTTTAAATATGATTTATTCTCAGATTCTACTTCTGGCAACTCCTTTCTTAATCAAATGTTTTTAATTCATGCTAAAAGAACCTTCAAAGCCTGTGACGTTTCCGTTTGACGACATATATGTGTTTGATACATGTGCAATACCAAAGGTCTCGAGTCCGAATCCGGAGAAGGCATGAATGTAAATTGTCTGCCCCCTCATATGAGGTAATAGTGGCCGCCTATTAGGTGCCTCCATAATAAAATGACCACCACTTCTTGCCCCTTAGTACTGGCGAAAGCTAAAAATAGCTAGTGACCGCCATTTAAAAAAAAAAAAAAACTGAGCGTGATGGCTCTTTGATTTGGGATGAACTTTGCCATGCAGTTTAACTATTTTACTGAATCAATAAGAGCTTGAAAGAAAGCTTGCTATTATAAATATTTCTAGTTGTTTTCTGTTTCGTTTAAGCGCTTCGTAACTAAATCGCAGTTTTTATTTGATCTGAACTGCAGAGTAGACTGGTATTTTTTTAAACCACATTTACAGTCAAATAAAGTTGTCTAATTCCTTAAAAATGACTTCAATGCGTAGAAAATCTTTTACTTCTAATAGATTAATATATAAGGTCTTTTCTTCGTCGTTCCTTACTAAAGGATACTCCTTATAAATACAATCAAAAGAAAACCTTGTACTGGGAATTTTTCTTACACATTTCTTACCATGCACAACCAAACGTTAATTCTACGACACTAAATTTAATCAGACTCTATTACTGAATGGTTCAAAATAAAGCAATAACAAAATGTAAAGCCAGACCTCTTTTAAGATTTTAAAGAGAAATACATTATAAATTTAAGAAATAATAATAAAATAACTTGTAATCCTAAATTTTCAAAACTAACTATAATATTTTTAAAATCATACATTGTGCAGGTCACATTACAAGAATACAGTGGAAATAATGCATACCTGTTCCATGGACACATAATTTAATTTTAAAACTACATGCTGTGAAAAAGGATATATAAAAAATCATCCCATGGCCCCACACTGTGTTTTATATTCAGTTTTTCATACTGATCAGAAAGGACGATATGTGATTATTTTGCATGGTGATTAGAGTATTAGGGGTGGATACAGATTTTTTAAATTTTTATAATGTGTGTTATGCTTTTCTTTATTAAGCCTGTTTCATTACGCTAGAAAATTTCGAGCTTAAATTTAGAATTCGTAAATATTATAATTTTAATTTGGGGCGTTTATTGTATTTTAGGATTCTGGAAAGGTATTTATGGAGAATTAATTGTAAAGATCCCAATAACCTTACAAGTTTAAAAAAAAAGAAAGAACAGTATGATACTTTCATATGTTAAACATTCAGTGACTGTGTTATTCTATGATCATTGATTCTTATTAATCTATGCTACATTTTACGAGTAGTGTGCTATTGATTGCTATTGAATTGTACTATGTTATTTTTGCTCATTGAACAATTGTTTCTTGTGCGATTCTATATAAATCTACAAGCATATTGAAAGCTCTTTTCTCCTCATAACTAAACTTTGAGATTCATTCTGACCGTAACTTAAGAAAATGCCACATTAAGAGTTTGAACTTTGCTATTTGCTTCCCAAACTAAGCTTTTCCAGAAGGTAAATAGTAATTTTGGTTTAGCTCTTTACTTTACTCATTATGGTCTTTCGTTTTTAATGGAATTCTTTGCATAATGTTTTGCAAGAATACATTGGTAAAATTCACATCAACAAGGCTCTGAAGTTTTTTCCCTTCAGAAAACATTTTGGTGGAGCGAACTTCGATAGAAATATCTGCAACAGGACAAATAATATCTCACATTGCAAAAGCGCTAGTCAAAGGCGGATTTATGGGGCCACACAAATCTCAATCATGAGAGATCCAGAGTTCAAAGATGCTTAAAAAATGTTAACCTATTTTTAAATATAGCAAACGTACCCTATGCTTTAAAACGTAGAAGCTCCAAAAGCTCAGATGGGACCGCTCTCAACTTCCGCCAGTGATGTCATTTAAAGATTATATAAAGATAATATTTTATATAAAAAATCAGACAATAATATTCCTATATAAGCAGAAAAAGACTTAATACTTTTCAACTTTTATAAACAGAAAATTGTTTGCTTCATGTGAGACATATTCAGAGATTTCGGAAGATTTTACTTGATCTACATCCACAAGTTTTGAACTTGCTGGTATTAGAACACAAATTACAAATTTAGTTTAGAAAAAAATCCACCATCATATATTGGTGTCTAGAGTCTAATTGGTTGGAGTCATCGTTAGTTAATATTTTCGAAAGTAAATGCAATGGAACAACGTCAGTTTCTTGTGGAACAGGAAAACATATATAAGATAAAGATGAATCACTGCAATACAGAATACAATGCACAATAGAGAATAGCACAACACAGAATAGCACAATACAGAATTAGCTTCCACGATTTGTTTTATTTTGTATGCTTTTAACATTGTCTCAGAGCTCAATTTGCCCCGGTTTGAGATCTAGATGGGTTAACTACATAATTATACCCTTAACTTGAACGACACTTATAAAATATATATTCCATAAAATTCAAAGTTGAGCTTATTTCATAAACATAAACCCATCTGTTCCAATTAAGAAGGAAAAAAGAAATGTGCTTTACAGAATATGAAAAACTTTCTATGTTATTTAATTTCATAGCATTTTAACATGCTTGAAAGTTGATAAATGAACATCGATATTATCTTAAAAGAATAAAAATAAGCTTGAACGTGCTTCTATAAAACGCTCCGAATGCTTTTTTGTGAAACTCTAAATTCAATTAAAATTTGTGTCACGTTCGAATAAAAGAACTCAGGTATCGTGTTCTAAAAGTGAATGTTCTTTCATTTCTGCTGTATAATATGAAATGTATCTAATTGAATAGATAGATATTCAGTTTTAAACATAGATATTCAGTTTTAAACCACATTTAAAGAACTGTAAAAGCATATACATCGGTAACATAATATAGCAAATATATTTAGAGTTTAAACATCTATCAAGATTTTTCAATTTACGTTCAGATTGAGTGACGTAAATGAAATATAGCCGTTATACATTCAGAAGCAATTCCTTTGATTCAACATTCGTTTTCACAACACTTCACATAAACAATTACAATTTCACAAGAGTGCTAATAGTACACAACATGCTTGGCTGTATGTAATTTTAATATCATATACAAACAATGGGTGATATTTTGAGGGCATCAGTACTGCACGTGTTTTCGGAAATGTATAGCATCCTGGCTTCATTAATCCGAAACTTCATCAGCTTGAACACAGTATGTGGCTCTGCAAAACATTAAACTGCACCACAGGATTTGACACAACATCTGTAGGGAAAAAAATATGGAAACATGTTAAATTTGCATTTCATTTACAAAACCTGACACATGTTTTCATATAAACAAACTATGAACATGCAGACGTAAGTACCAACAAATGTGTTGTGTCAGTAATTTCCTTAAATGATTTCATGGCTGATTTTCGTGATTTTTACCCTGTATAACATAAATATGAGCCACGTTTCCTTAGAACGTCCTCAACGAAGGCATCCTCCCTTAAGCATATAGCCGTATTCCAATAACCTAACATAAATTAATCTGGGAAATTTTCTGGGTCACTAAAACTTCTAGACTAAGACTTCCAACTAGTAAATACACCTAAACTTTAATAAAGTACAGTCTTTAATAGGTTAAATTAAAATGTTATAATCTGTATGTGAAAATTGAATGCGTAAATATTTTACAAGTACGTAACCATTAATCGCAATAACGAGCAGTTTTTATTTCATAGCTGCTTCGGAAAATATGATGAGATATTGCAATTTTTCATCGCTGATAGACACTGAAAATGGATAAAAATCAGCAAGTTTGTTATGAAATATCTCAGTGAATTTTGAGCGCAAAGTTATGAAATATTTTGTATTTAACTTATGAAAGCATAATTTGGAATATTTGCTTTACAAGAATCTTACGAATTATTAAGTTTTGTATTTACAAAACCCTATATCCTTCTATCCTGAAACTAGTTACAGAATTCCATGCATTATTTTTAAAAATGCTATAATTGGTATTGCATATTTAGGTCCGAAATTTAAGGAAATTAAGTCCGCAGACATCTTTTCAGGTATTTATATATGCATGAATTTCATTTATATCGAACAACATGGTAGGTAATCTATGATAATACACCACTTCTGATGATATTCAGGAGGATATTTAAAATATTTAAATCAGCACGTGTTAGATATGATATGAAACACTGCATATTATAATCGATTTCTGTGTCTCCTTCAAATTTTTACTTTAATAACAACAGATGTTTTGTTTATGATTTTAGGGAATTAAAGGAAGTAGTTCTGAATGAAACTAGACATGTCACTACAATTTTATTTTCTCTTAACTTAAACAAAATCGGGTACTCATTGTTATCAATATTAGCGGCAAAAGTAAATTAAGTAAAAAACAATTATTGATTTCAGGTTGTAATAATTTTTATCCAACATAAATCATTCTGAAACAAAGCCTTATGCCTTTCTAAGATGCGATTAACATTTTTTAAAAATAATTTCTGAGCTTGGACTCTGTATTTAAGTAGCTATAACTGCCTATCATGCAGATACATGATACTATAATTTATAAGAAAGTACATACATAAGCGAAATTTAAATCTGAAAATGCATACATAATACCAGAGAGCACATGCCCCAGCTTTATATAAGAAAGGGGTTTGCGGAATTTGAAATAAAGAATTGCTTGGAACAGAGTTAATAAATTTTCTGCACAGATAAATGATTTTTGTTATAGAACAATATTACTAAGTTGCTGCTTCATAATTCAAATTGTAACTGAAGGTAGTTAGATATCGGTTAAAGACATAAAATGTATTTTATTTTAGGTAAGTAAAATATATACTGCAAACGGGACGCCCTCTTTAAGTTTGACAATAATTTTAAAATACACTGCCCACCAAAAGTTAAGGAATAGCATGTTTTTCACACCTCAATTACAAAAATGTCAGTAACGCTTAAATTCACAGTTTATATGCATGACAGTAACAAAGTTTAAGAAAATATATGAAAACCAGTAGCTACCACTTTTATTTTGTAGAAATGCATGCTTATATAGGAGTTTGAGAAAAAAATGCAAAAATTATAATTTTTCTTCACGAGTGTTGATCTTCAGTTGTTATTACAGTATCATGGACAATATCCAGGAGAGTCTATCAAAGTCCAGGAGAAGTCGTTTACCAGATTCGTTGAGCTGGCGGGCAATCAGATGGATGGAAATGGGGATGTCACAAGCTGATGCTGCTTCACAACTCAATGTCTCTCGTACTGTGGTGCACCGACTATGGAATCAGTTTGAATCCGAGGATTCTGTGTGCTAGGCAGACCTAGAGTTACAGCACCTGCGCAAGACCGTTATTTAGCTCTTTCAGCCCGAAGGAGGAGTAACATTACTGTGTCTCACCTTATGGCAGATCATTTAGTGGCAACAGGAACAAGAATCTCAGTTACTACAGTGTGCAGACATATGCATAATACAAGTCTGTATGCAAGACGACCAGTTGTTTGTGCCCCCTTGATCCAGAGGTGCTTTTTTATATTGAGAAGCGAACACGTCTCCTGGACCAGTCAACAATGAGCGTCTGATTTCTTTACAGACGAGTTCCGATTCACAGTGGAGAGTGATTCAGGTCGTCAGCTAATCTGGAAGGAACAACGCACCAAATGCAACCAATCCCACATTGTGGAAAGACAACAGTTACATAGGTGGTGGAATAATGGTTTTGGCTGGTATCTCTCTCGGTGGTTACACTGACTTGCATTTGTTTTATGCAGGAACTTTGACTCGTGTGAGATATAGAGACGAGATCCTTGATCACTTTGTCCGCCCATATGCCTTTGCTATTTGTCCTGGATTTCTTCTGATGGACAACACTGTGCGACTGCAACGAGCTCGAGTTGCTGAAGAATATCTTGAGAGTTACGGTAGTAAGCGGATGGAATGACCGGCTCAATCCCTAGACCTGAATCTTTGGGATTACCTTGGGAGACAGGTCGCTGCTTTACGTACTCCTCCAAGTTCGTTAGATGAGCTTGAACAGGGATTACTTCATGTCTGGTAGTTGCTTCCCGTTTCACTGACTTAATTGACAGCATGGAACGTCGTTCCCGCCAATGTATTGCAACTAGAGATGGACACATTCCTTATAAGAACCCATTTTTCCTCAAAAAATTGTGATTTATCCGAGATTGGAATTGTCTACCAACAGTGCATTTTTTTGTTATAGTACATGTTTGTGTTGAACTGTAGAAACATTCTACATCGCATTCATCAAAGAACAGTTTAGTGAACATGTCCTGTAAATTTCTTGTTTCTATGTTGCTTCATTCTTAAATTAGACACAAAAAACATGCTGTTCCTTAACTTTCGGAAGCAGTGTCGTTCTTTAAAGAAACAATAGATTAATGATCTAAAACGACATACAGGATGTTTCACGAAGGATCCCTAACTTTAAAAATAATTAACTCGGAACCGATGATAGATAAAAACATGAAACAAGTGATATGTTTATTAAAAAAGCCGTAAGAATATGATATGGAAACCTAAAAAAATACAAATTGGGATGATAATTACAAAGTTACAAATCGTGCTGCTAGTTGGCGCTGCGGGTGGCGTTAACATAAGTAGGCTGTGCATAGTGGCTAATGCAAACTCTCATTGCATTCACATCAAAAGAGATTCGGATATGTGAACCTTTCACACGACACACATGTCGCAAACGGAGAATGAAATTCCCAATCACTCTCTGTATCAGCCGAATAAATTTGTCCGCCTACCTACAGCTGAATTCAAAATCATGCCATTCAGCACTTACAGAGTCCTGAGGAAGACATTAAACATGTTTCCATGCAATATTAAATGCTGGAACGCTATACTAGTTCAAGCTGAACGACAAAGAGAGGATATTGCTAACAGGATGCTCGACATGATTGATGTTTTTGGTTCCGATGTCCGCCGAATATGGTTTACAGACGTCATAGCCCCAAACTTACCGTTTGGGCTGCACTCTTCTGCAAAGGCATCATTGGGCCCTTTTTCGTTTGAGAAACTGTGACAACTGACCGGTATATTGCGCTTTTGAAAGAATTTCTCGAAACTCAACAAGCGCTCGATGATCAACAAGACACAATGTGGTTTTTGCAACATGAGGCTCGTCCATACTGTACACAACAAGTTTTTGACTTTCTGGATGAATACTTAGATGATAGAGTTATTGCATTGAAATATCCGGCAGTTAAGGGAAAAGGAATCGACTGTAGTCCTTATTCACCTGACCTCAACCCCTGCGACTACTTTCTGTGGAGTACACTGAAGGACATTGTTTGTCGTAACAACCCTTTAACACTCAATGAGCTGGAGGAGGCTATTTGTCAAGCTTGTGTTTCAATTTCCGGTGATGCACTACAGACAGTGACTGAAAATTTCATTCTTCGTTAGCGTGTATCTGGTGAGACATGTGTGTTTGAGTAAAAGGTTCACATTTCGAATCTCTTTTGATGTGAATGCAACGAGAGTTTGCGTTACCAACTATTCACAGCCTGTTAATGCCACCCGCCGCGCCTTCTATCAGCACAATTTGTAACTTTGTAATTATTAGCACAATTTGTAATCTTTTAGGTTTCCGTATGTATATGTTCTTCAAACGTCAAGTAAGAAACTAAATTTATTCTTGCATTTCCAACAATATTCGCTGTGGAATTTCGGAAAATGTATTTTATCGAAAAACGTGATCATTGTTTTACGAATTAAACAAAAAAATTATGGAAGAAAGAATCTAGATTATAAAGATCAATAGGCGTAAACATACAATAATAACTTTTTGGATTAATTCATATCGTTTTAGCATTCTCGCAATCTGCATGTAAACGGAAAACTTCGTTAAGCTCAATTTCAAAGTTTACTGTTTCTGTTGAATACATACGTATTAACGTTGAGTAAAAAATAAACATGGTATTCATTAATAGCAAATAAAATTATATTATAGTATTTGTTTTTCGTTGGCCTACTAACCGCCGAGCTGTAAAGTCGCTGAACAGTGGTAGTTCGGTCCGGGGTTCGAATCTCGGCGAATGGGCTGCCTACATAGCATTTTCATGGTTTTCCTCTTGTGTAACGAGTGTACGAACCAGTTCCCCTTAGAACATGCTCCACGAAGGCATCCCTCCCTTTAGGTAGATAGCCCTTGCGTACTTTGCCGTGAAACCAAACCAAACCAAACCACAGAGCTTCTTTTCAAATTGCATACGTTCTTGGTCAGAAAT